TTCAACAAGGTTTTGTCATCATCAGGTACCAATTCAAACCCTTGTCGAAACGTTGTACATTTGCTGTCATGTTAAACTTATATTAAAGTTTTTCTTCATTACCCATTTAAGCCGTCTCCAGCCATTATTAGTCTCAAAGTGGGTTCCTCGTCATCGAATTTGAAATATAAGGATGTTAACAATACATTTCTGCTCCAACAATGTAGTTTTTTATTTGGATAATCAACAAGTTTTTCTTAATCATTTTCTCACCAGACGAAGCAATAGTTTGTTGTATTGTTTTAATATTTGCATTTTGTTTTTTCTCAGTGGACTCTTTTTTTTTTATACAACGGGAATATGTTTTTTCTTGAACGCAGTTAGCTTAATGTTTATTTTAAAGTAATCCTACCCGATTTAAATATTGTCAATAATTTAGTATGAAAACAGTTTTGTGTACAATCAAACTGATTCATTATTAATTTGTAGGATTTGATTTATTTAATTATTAATTATCTTTCTTTTATATTGCTAAACTCTGTTTTAGTGAATGTATCCAGACATTATATGGTAATGTCATAATATGCCTTGTACCTTATGTATTACTGTTGTAAACTGTCTTGTACCTTATGTATTACTGTCCTAAGACGGTATAACACTAATATCTCCAACTACTTCTATTATCTGTAGTATTTGATAATCAATGATCGCGACTATAAAATTAATCTTTCTTTGTGGTTCCATATACATTCTGTATAGAATAGAATTAGCTGATGTGAGTCATTCCAAGACTTCTATATTGATTACTGATTCTATAACTAGTTGTATTGAGAAAATTCCTTGTTTTACAACATATAAGCCTGCAGTGAAATGGCTTACTACAATCCATTTAAATTATAGATAGCTTAAAACAACGTTAGTTGAAATATTCATCTGCTTACTGCCGACCCAAATTTCAAATTCGGCCTTAACACTAAATAATTGATGATTCATCGTCTTCAATGTAGTTCTAAAGTATCTGTACCTCGTCAACAATCTTTTACTGAGATAGTTGTACCTCATCAAAAATTTCAGTAACTCATTAACAGTTCAGTTCTGAAGTCATTTTTATATATGTTTGGCATATTGTAAGCCATTAAAATCTTTAAATATTCCTGAGGGTTTTGCATTAACCCTTGTAGTGGACATACAGGATGGATGGCGGGTGAACATACAGGACAGATGTGGGGTGGACATACAGGATGGATGGCGGGTGAACATACAGAATGAATGTAGGGTGGACATACAGGATGGATGGCGGGTGAAAATACAGAACGGATGTAGGGTGGACATAAAGGACAGATGTGGGGTGGACATACAGGATGAATGTAGGGTGGACATACAGGATGGATTAAGGGTGAAAATACAGAACGGATATAGGGTGGACAAGTTCAAATGTGGCCAGGTTACTTTTCACGGAAAATTCTATATATTTTTTATATTGATAGGGGACTCATTCTGTTACCACAACGAGTTCAAGTTTATCACAAAGGACAATGATAATGATATTGATGATTCTAATTGCGCCCAAACCTTTAAAGAAGCTCGGTGGTACAAGAATTGTCACGGTTCCAATCTTAATGGACTCTACCTGAACGGTAAACACGAACGTTATGCAGGTGGTGTGGAATGGAGCGATTGGAAAGGACAGAAATATTCCATTCCAGACGTGGAGATGAAGATTCGATCCCTGTTGTAAGTCCTCTGTAACACATTAGTAACAATAACCAATGTAATTTTCTGTTACAAACACGTCATTGAGCTATGGCTCTACTTTACTTCTGTTTTTCCATAATTACGAGATTATTAAATACTTATCAGTAACGATCGGACTAAGAAATTGTACAAATTATTTCATTTTAATGGTACTTGTCACGTGAATGTGAAGGTAATAATTAAAAAATATTTAAAAATGCAAAGCATTTTACAATACAAGTTTAAGGCTGATTATGTTTTAAAGTGAATTTAATACATAGAGGTATTTACATAATAAAATTCATAACAGATAATGTTACCGGTAGGTGTCTAAGGTGTTCCATGTCTCTAACATCCACTTGACTCAAAGTTCTGTATAAATATTGATAAATAAAATACTTTATTCGTATATCACAATAAGGTTATCAATAAGGTTGTCTACTTTCACTATACGTGATTCTTATAATTATACTACATCACGTGATGCTGTCACCCAATAGGTATATTGTAACCAGGTGATTCACGCAATGCTGTAACCCGATAGGTATGAAAATTAAGATACGTGATTGACTCAGTATCTACACGATACCAAGAAGGGAGATATACAAATAAGATGACGTGATAGACTCAGTAACTGCAGAATACCACAATTGGAGATATGCAAATAAGATCACATGAATGACTCAGTATTGAATACCGCTATAAAATGATAGTTGTTTTTTCGCTGTTTGTAAGATCTTAGAACGAAGTAAGATAAGAAAGTAAGATATTATAATTAAGTTATCCTAGAAAATATTTTGTTTTTATTTTAACTTAATATATAGATATATATGGTTACGTATCTGCTTCTTTGTTAATTTCCAGTACAAATTCTTTCCGAGGAACTTCAGTCATTTCTTGATTAATCCAGTTTATTATTTTTCGGTACAAATTTTTAGTACATAGTAATTCAACAGTCAGTACGTTTCTCGTCACTTTCAACTAAGCGGCTTTTATAATACACGCTATATATCACAGGGATTCACAATCTCAATAACTTCGCTCTCTACGAGTGCAAAACACACACTAGCTCGAAACAGAATCGTAAATTACCCGAAACTCACCGTGACTATTGTTCGATTTATTATCCCTAGCTTTTCTCTGCCAGGTTTATATACTAACAAAGAGCTGTCTCTAACATTCGACGAGTTCCCTGATAATTCGAGAAACTCAGTCACGCATGCTTCAGCAACGTCTCGTGACTTCCGTTGTATTGTTTCCCCTGAACAATAGCCACTTACATTAAACCAATAAATAATTAACAATAACTTAATTAAATGTACATAATTTACAAACACAAAATTAAAATACAACAACGTCTCTAAATTTTACAGAATGTTTCTTTTTTCGTACT